ATGCCCCCCCCCCACCCCAGGACAATTTGCACAAAGCTGTAAATTCAGGGTCTTGTTCTCATTTCAAAGATGGGGAGACAGGGTGAGAGAAAGGCACTGCGCTAGACAAAAAAATGACAATGATAGAGATAAAAGGCTTCAAGCCAGAGACATAAAGACATCACAGGAGAGAGAGAGATACTGAGACAACAGGGAGAGATTAGCTGGGAACCTCAAAACAAGAGAGAAGCATAGAAAATGCCCCAGGACAAGAAATACATTCTCTTGGATCTGGGAGAAGTCCCGAGGCCATGTTCCTAAAAGGCCATAAGCTTGCTGTATCTCTCAGATGCAAAAGGCCTCTGCCCCCACACTACTCAGAGCTAAGAAAAGCTCCTGACTTCTGTGTCAGAAATCTGTACACAGGCCATTCAAGAAAGAGCCTCCACATGGAGCCCACGGAGCCCCCACCCACAGCTTACACGGCCTCAGTTTACTCGTCCTTCCAACAATCAAGTTGTACGACTGTATGAGTGAACACAGACGCAAAAATTATAAATAAAATATTACTCAACGCTGTATTTTGAAAAAATGCCCCACAATCATGTAGTGATTGTCTCGGGAGTGCAAGGGTGGTCCCACAATGGAAGAGCCCTTAGTGTATTCTCCACATAAACAGTTCTTCTTCTCTCACGAGAAAGATCCCATGCTTTTCTCAGTAGACACAGAAAAAGACATTTGAAAAACTCAACACATACTAATGACTAAAAAAAAAAAAAAACCCAAAAACCACCTGTTACTTAGCAAAGTAGGAACGGAAAGGAAATCCTTAACAAAAGTTACATGCCACAAACCTATAGCAAACACCATATAACATTAAGGAACACACAAAATGACACTATACTGTCAGAAGCCAGGAATGATGGTACTTTGTGGGCAGAGGGCAGAAGAATCACCGAGAGAGTAGAAGGGAGCTTTTGGCTCCTGGCATTGTTCTACTTTCTGACCAAGGCAGTGATTACACAGATGTATTCTCTACGGGATAATTTCTTATGCTGGACACTTAGAATTTGTGTATTTTTGTGTACGCAGGTAATACTTCAACAACTGACTTTCGAAATCAACGACACTTCTCTACTCCAGCACAATCCACTAGAAATTATATTCGAAACAAGATACATTCTCAATAGCAAAAAAATCACAGGCACTGAGGAATTAACCTATCCAACACTACGTAAGATTTCTGTGGTGATACACTTTAGACTCTAATAAAGGACACTGAAAATGATCAGCATAAACAGGGAGCCAGCCCTTGTTTTTACATAAACAACTAGACATTTCAGATGTCATTCTTCCCAAAGTTAATCTATAAAGTCATTTTCCAAGTTAGAATTTTAGGAAACTTTACACTCTACAACTGACATAGAAAAACAAAGGTCCATGAATAGCTCAGTCTCTGAGAGAGTGGAACATAAAGGGACACTTGTCCTAGCAGATATCTAGACACACACCAAAACCATAATAACAAAAACAGTGTGGTATTGACAAGGACTGACAGATGGAAGCAATGGAAAAGAACAGAGAGCCTGAGGTTGTTCTGGGAACATAGGAATTTAATGTAAATAAAGGAGCCACCACCATCGGTGGGTGGAAGATGCATGTTGAGTAGACGGTGCTGGGAAAACTGACTCACTATAAAGAAAATAAGAAAAACAAAACTGGATTCTTTCCTACCAGCACTCGAAGACCTAGAAAGTGAAAATGTAAAGTTAATGATGAACTGTGTGACATGGGGCAGGAAAGGGCTCCTTAAACAAAACTTCAAAACACAGTCCACAGGGGCGCCTGGGGGGCTCAGTCGGTTAAGCATCCGACTTTGGCTCAGGTCATGATCTCATGGTTCGTAGGTTTGAGCCCCACGTCGGGGCAGAGCCCCGCTTCAGATTCTCTGTCTCCCTTCTCTCTCTGCCTCTCCCTGGCTCGCACTCTCTCTCTCTCTCTCAAAAATAAATCAACATTTTTAAAAAATCCATAAAGCATCAAACTGATTACTTTGATTAATCAAGTTAATGACAGACTGGGAGGCAATATTTGCAATTATCTAAAATCAGCACCAGACTTTCATTAGGAACATACAGGGCATTCTAGGAAATCAACAAGAAAAAAAGAACAACAGACAATAGGCCAAGGATAAGGGCGATTTATTAGAAGAAGAAACTCGAGAGGCCAAAAGCACATTGAGGCATGCTGAAACTCCTTAATAATGAGAAAAATGTCAATTAAATCAAGAAGCCATTTTTCATCTGTTAGATGGGCGAAAACAGATAAAAGCTGCATCTAGTAGGTCTGTTCACAAATGGCTGATAGGAATGCAGAGGGCTGACCAAATGAGATTACGGACGATAGATAAAAGTATGGTATCCATGTAAATGTGTGAAGTTGATAAGTGGTTGATAAGTAATAAGTTGATAAGTTGATACTACGGCTACGTAAAGGAATATTCTTAGAAAATACACACCTACGTATTTAGAGACAAGGAGTCACGGTGTATGTTACCCTCAACTGATTCTGAAAAAATGATGCGTGTGTTCCTTGACCTATCTGTATTCGCACAGTGTTCCATAAGTTGGAGGAAACAGAAAGGGATCTAGAGAAACACCATTTAACGTAAGTTAAAAATACATGCACACAAAACCACAACGTATATTTTGACGAGACTACGCACAAGCAGAGATATGCACTGGACATACAGGAAAGGCTGGAAGGACGGGGAGGGGAGGATGGCAGTGGGGCATGGACAGAAGCAGGAAGAGGTAACTTAACTGAACAATTCGTAACAAATCAGGGAGGACCTGTGACCACAGAAGGCCTTGAACAGCAGGAGCAACCCACCATCCCCGCCATCCCTGCCGTCTAAGGAAAAAGGCCCTTCGGAAAGCAGACAGGTCAGACTAAATTCCAGCTTCCCACACACCCAGAAACACTATCTGTGTGACCCTCTTCAGAACACACCCTCCCAGGAGCTGAGGTTTTCCTGGCGCAGGGACTCACCCTCCCCACCTGGTATGGAATTGTTTTCTTTATAACCTGGAGGAGAAAAGGGGGAACAGAAACGAAGGAAGAGGTCATGAATCGGTTAATTTGTTCATTCGCCAAATATTCCCTCCCCTCTCATTCCATTCCCAGCCTGGAGCCCGAGGCCAGGGAGGGGACAGAGCGTATCCAACAGATACAGGCTGTATGTGCCCTCTAGGAACACCCTGTCCAGCGGGGGAGACAGGAGTAAACACACACAGTCGCCTGTGTGCGATCAATGCAGGGACCAGGTCACAGGTGTCAGGGGAGCCCAGAAGAAGCGGTGGACAAGGACGCTTCTGAGAAGAAGGGTGACTGTGCCAGGTCTTAAAGATGAAAAGAAGGTAAAACAGAAAAGTGACAATGACATTCCGTGCGAAAGAAACACCACGGTGTGTGCCAGAGCCTCCAGAGGATAAAGGACAAGGCTCTATGATGACAAGAAATGATGCCATGGAGGAAAGTCGGGGTCAGTCACGGAGGCGGGGAGGCTCAGAAGCCAGGCCGAGAAGCAAAGAGACCCTCTGGGAGGAGGGAGGCCAGAGGAAGGGTGACATGGTCAGGCTTCTAGTGTGAAGAGGAAGTAGGAAGATGACCGACCAGGCAGTGAGATCCCACCAGAGGCTCCGCAGGACACAGGCAA